AAGCTCGCAGTCGAAGCTTAATAACATCAGAACATGATTTTGCTAGGAAAAAAGACAGCAACCTTGTTGTTGAACTTGTCTTGTATTTGAAAAAGAGGCTGACATCATCCATGAAGGAGGAACAATTCCAATTGTTTCATCTCTTCAAAAGCTGAATAGAAAGATTTTAAAGTTACTCAGAGCAGGGGGCCCAGATGATGCATTAGCAGGTACTGTCACTCTTTTATCAGAATTTTGAATCTAAATATTTGCCTTGCTGTGGAGAGGGGAAACTTTGAGCAGTAGTCCATTTTCTCAAATTCTTGTAACTGTAGCATGCAGATTTGAGAAACTGCTAGGAATTTAGTGTTTTTTATTGAAAAAATAAAAAAAAAATTTCTTAAAGTTGCTTAAAAATCTACTTTTTCTAGATTATAGGAAATTTTAGGAAATTCAAAGAGATGGCTTCTAAGCATAAAAAAAGGGGAATTAATTATGCCTGTGTGCATTCTCTTCATTTTACATTGCAGTTCTAATAATGGGAAGAGGTGGGGAAAACATATGATTTTTATCACATTTTTACTTGTTTGCATAATGTTCTCTGCAGTAAAACAGGAAAGTTTAACAAAAGACACAAAATAGCAGATGAGTGTTTTGTCTGAGTGAAAATAGATAACTATTTGCATTTCAAATGACTTAGTGGGCACAACTGGGATGCGAACCTACTGGATAATATGAAGTGAGTAAGAAGATGCAACCTTTAATGAAATAATGTGTGTGGGTCCCACAAGCAGTGTCACTTTGCTAGCGTGTTACAGCACAAAGGTATAGTCACCTACAGACGCAGCTGCACTTCCTCTGCTTTCCAGAGCAAGCTTGGCCCCAGGGTCACAGAGGACAGACCTCAGCACCACGCTGAGATGAGGAATGCAGGCAAGTGCTCGATCCCCTTTTCCACAATGGACCTAGGCTTGAACTGGAATATAGCATTTTGCTCTCTAAAACACAGACTTCGACACTTTGAGCAGTCAGTGCCTAAGCACCTTAAAACACCTAAGCATAGTGTTCTAATTCCTACAGCTATCTGTAATTTTTCCTTCATCTTTATTTTGTGCAACACAGTAGTACATGATTCAGACTAGTAGGTCTTCCAGTTTGATTATCTAAGAATGCATACATTTATCTAAGTTATACATGTGTTTTCTTAAGGGGGCCAAAAAAGAACAGTGAACACCCTTCCTTTAATTACCATACAAGAAACATGATTTCATACAGGAAACAAGATTTCACCTAATAATTATTGCACTGAATCAAAAAAAGATTGAAATAGAATACTGAGAAAAACATTTAGTCCTGCTTTTATGAAGTGAAAGAAAAGCCACCACTCGGTAAATCTTTTTAAGGATTAGTTGGCTTCCCTGTGAGAAAAACATTCGGGGAAAAAAGTTAACTTATATAGGTATATACCTGTATACCTATGTCTATATACATACATTAAACATGTTCCTGGTGTTTACAGCCCAATTATCATCTTTGATTTTTTTTCTTATGGGTATAATTGCATAAATGGAAGAAAACTACACATTTTCTTCAAAAATGTGCCAGTCTTGGAAAAAAGTAACACAGGTTAATAAACCCTCGTGGATACTACTGTCAACTACCCTATGGACGCTACTCAGCGTCCTTTCAAGGGCCTGTCAGAGACATCATGTACATCAGCAGCAAGTTTCATACTCATTGGGTTATTCTTCTAAACAGCCGTGGACCACCCCCCCCGACCCCCGCAATTTAGAGTTGGTACGCATGATTATTATGACAGCCTTTATCCTGCTAGATGGCTGTGTTATCTAGTAATCATAGAGCTGTGCATGTGTTTTCTGTACATAATTAAACATAAAATATTAAAACTCTATCTACCTTTCCCACCTAAGTTAGACAGCTAACTAAAAGCTTGATATTACTCTTCACACAAGCAATATTTCTGGTGAAATCAGTATTTTGATGTGGAATAAATACAGTGATTGTGGAATCATTCCTAATGTCATATGTTAAAACTAATTTACACAGGTTTATTCAGGTTGTATTTTGATACATTTTAATCAGCATAAATATTTCAGAAGAAAGAAGTCTTTCGATTTTTAGCATGGCTTTAAAATTATGTACACATCTAAAGCGGAATATTAAAAGTTGGCATCCCTGTAAACGTTTAACAAATAGGACTTAAAATGAGAAAAAGTAATTATTTTTGTTACATAAAATTTTCTCTTTATTAATATCTATTCTGTGTTAATTGCTACTTCTACAATATCAATGGCTCCCTCTTCAGGTGTTTTGTAAAAAAATGTGGCTTCTGTCTTTTCAATTTCTACAGTTCGAAATATTTTAAATTATAAAACTCCAGTACCCACCCTTCTGCCTTCTCCTCCCTCAATAAGTAGAGGATACAAGAACTGCTAGATCAGATATGTGTTCTAAATAACATAAATACTTAAATGCAGATGTTACTTGAGGCCCAGATCTACAAAAATACTTACAAAAAGGAACCTGTAAACCACAGAGAAGCTAAGCTTAAGGGACATCAGCAAGTTGATTTATCCATTTTTCCCATGCTAAAAAAACAAGAGCAATTAGACCATTCTTAATTAGACCCTTCTTAAAACTGCCAGGGAAGGGGCTTCCATAGTCTCCCCTGACAACCTATTAAGGTGCTTAAATGTCCTTACAAAGGTTAATATACATAAACTAAGATATCCTTACTGAAAAATAAGGAGTCTTCTGCTGTGTAGATTTGTTATTATTTGGAGGACAGTCAAGATATGCACTATAACCCTTATGAAGTGGACAGAAAAAGAATGATCCTTCTGTTATTTATGTTCTGTGTTATGCTTTATTTAAAGATACCCAAACGTTTTCAGGCTTGTTCATTCATTTCAACCGCTTCCAACCCTCTCTGGTCACTCAGCTGGGTACTCCATTTTCGTTCAGAGGAACTGCTCAGATTGCAGTGACTGTTAGTGCACACTCATCCTCAAACCACTCTCACATGCTTTTACAACCAGCCACAGACTCTGGAACATCCCGTCAAAGGGCTAATAGATTAGTGAATGATTAACTGGCTGTATGAAACTTGCTTTGTAGGCCTAATTAGTAAGCCAGACTATTCCACTGTACCACTGAAAACTCAGTGAAACTCTGAATACCTGTAACACTGGGTTCTCTTCTCCTGCTCCCCGAATAGTGTTGAAGAATGTTGAACGGTGTTTAACTAAGACACTATGATCAACTAAAAATAGGGTACAATCAGAACATAAATGGTAAATCTGCATTTTCAAAATGACTATGGGGGAAAAAGCAACTCCATTCCACCACCGATGTCTGAGATGACTCAGTAGCAAGAGCAACTACAGTTCTTCAATGTAATAGCATGATTTAATTTAAAAAAGGCGTACGAGTATTAAGTGTTTTAATGTTTCAGCTTCTTCACCAGCTATCTAAAGTGTAACATTTTACAAACTCCACTCCCCTCACCTATTTCCCTTCTGACCTCCATCCTCTGAAAAACACTGGGAGAAATGCTGCTACTTCCAAGGAGAGTTTGTATGAACACAGCTTCAGGGAAGAATCGGACATAGCACATACTAACATCTAATTCATCATTTTCCACTCCTTTAAAACACCTATTACCTGGCTGGGAACAGACCCTCACTGCCCCGTCCACGCCAAGTGAGCAAAGAGAACTACCTGTAATACACCAGTTTATTTTACGTAACATCCCAGGTGGCAGAAGGCTGTAACTGTGCGATCCACCGCCAGAGACCACTGCGCCAGAGGCCAGTCACATAAACAGCGAACGGGAGCCGGACGGACCCGCGCAGGATCCGAGCCCGGGCGACCCCGTCGGCGCTCCGCCCTCCTCAGGAGCCCCCCGTCCTCTGCCCAAGCGAACGCGGCAAAACATGGCGGAGGCG